CTAGATATGCCTCATGGGGCCAATTATGCTTCATAAACTGTACAGTGGTAAAAGGACTAGGACAACAGCTTCCAGCTTGAATATTGGGCCAGATTTCATAAGCCTTGTGGGTCTGCAGCCCAGTTGATGCCTGCTTCCTCTGCAGACCTTGAGTAAAATTACCCCATGTTGCCATTTATCTCAGCATGAGGGAAGAAGAAGCAGGAACAGACACACTGTTTAGGTCCTTGGATTGCCCACTTGGTGCTGGGTCTTTAAGCTCCTGGTGCAGCTTCAGGGAGTGGTCTTTATCCCTGGCCCTCTCCTCCATGTCTCTTGAGTTTCTGCTCAAAGGCCACCTCTTGGGGAGTCCCTCCCTGGTCACTGTGTCCAGAACAGCCTTCTCAGTCACTTCCTGCCTTACATTACTCTGGTCAATTCTTTAATTACTGCTACCATCTGACTTGGTCTTCTTACCTTTTTGTCTTCCCCCATCAGACATAAGCACCGCAGTGGCAGAGACGTCATCTGTCTTGTCCTGGTTCCCTGGTCCTAGCTCTGTGCCTGTACAGTGCAGGTGCTCAAGTACAATTTGTTTGTGAGGAACCAGTGGTGTGGGAGTTATAAGTCCACATGTCCATTTTACTGAAGAGGATATGAGGTTCAGAGAGGGCACATGACCTGCCTGGTCACACAGCCAGTGAGTGGCAAAACCTGGACTTGAACTCAGTTCTGCTGAATAGAACTTGTTCTTTCCAGACATTCAAGGAAAACAAAGGGGAAATTCCAGCTGATGAGAGGTCCCCATGTTTGTTCTAGAAAGACCCCAGGCTGATTCCTGAGAGGTGTGCCTTCATGGTGACACAAAATAAGAACTTCCAATCTCTGTTGTATCCCAACTATCTGCTCCCACTGTGCCAAATCCTTCTCTAAAAGTTTTGTTTTAATGATTATATTTATAGCATCTCAGTGAAAAAAAGCACAACAGAAATGTGTAGAAAGTTAAAAGGGTCTTTACTCCAATTCTAGTTCCTTAAATTCCCACTGTGATGTATGAATTCCTCTGAATTTCTTTTTTCAGTGATAAACAAATCTGTCCACACAGACACATACACACTTTGTTTTTTCAAATGGAGACAGAGTCTCTCTCTGTCACCCCAGGTAGAGTGCCATGGTGTCACCCTAGCTCAAACTCCCGAGTTCAAGATATTCTCTTTCATTAGGATCCTGAGTAGCTGAGACTACAGATGTGTGCCACCACATCTGGCTAACTTTTCCATTTTTTGGAGAGATGGGATCTCACTGTTGCTCAGGCTGGTCTCGAACTACTGAGCTCAACAATTGTCTAGTGTCAGCTTCCTAGCATGTTCAGATTATACGAGTGAGCCTGGCCTCATATAATATATATCTGTTAACATATATATGTAATTTAATGTATATTATATATCATATATATCATTTAATAAATCATTAATGTATATATCATTTGTATCATGTATATCATTTAATAAATATTAATATATTAAATCATTTATATATGATATATAATACATATCATTTATAATGATATATATACAATGTATATATCATTTTTGTATATCATATATATATATGACCATTACTCACATATTGTTTGAGATTTGCTTTCCCTGCTTTCTCTGCTTTGTCTGGTGGTAAGCTTGCAATGCCCTGTGAAGCACTGTCAGTGTCTTCTGTTACTATCATATCTTACAGATATGGAGACTGAGTTTCATAGGTTGAGGGGTCAATCTGAGGCTGGTCACTGATGG